CAACATATATTTTTATTTTTTATTTTAATTTATGTGACATTAATAAAATTTTAACGGTCAAACAATTTTTTTGTATGTTCTTTAAATTTTAAGTTGTTGATTATTGTGGTTAATAATACTTTATATGTAATTTTCAATATTCTCTTTGTCCCAATTTATGTGTCATTGATAGAATTTCGAAAGTCAAGCAAATTTTGTATATGTCTTTTAGATTTTGAAGTTATTTAATTATTATGAGTTATAGTACATTTTACGTATATGTTACTTTTTCTATCCCAAACTATGTGACATTAGTAGAATTTTGAGAGTTGATCAATTTTTTTGTATGTCCTTTAAATTTTGAAGTTGCTAATTATTGTGTGATTTGTAGTACATTTCATGTTATTTCAAATACAACAAAAAAAGACTAATTTTTGTACTGCTTGCGTCACATAAATTAGGATTGGATGATTTTAAAATTTTAATTTTGGTTATACATTATAAACTAGCTGAAAAATTGAATGATATAATTTTTTTAAAAATAACCAAATGAATTGTCCTATCGATAACCCTAATGTTACTTCTACTCTGTTTATTTTTACTTAAATTTAGAAAGATATGCTTCATTTCTACCCTCAATCTTATTGCTACATTTATTTGCTATTTAAAATTGAAATTAAAAAGACAAATGACAAATAAGTTTCTATATTAGCTCACTTACGAGCAAAATATATTATAACAATCTTTTACTAATTTTATAACAATACATAAACTATACTCCCTCCGGCCCATATTAGATGGGCACTTCCAACTTTACACGGTGATTAAGAAATCATTAATACATTGGAAGACTTCACCATTTTGCCCTTTGTTTATATCAATGCACATTGAAATGAGTTACAAAAAATACACATACAATATAGGAATGGTCATATTAATTGTAGGGGTAAATGGAAAGAATTAATTAATTCTATCCTAATTTAATAAGTGCTCAAATAATATGAAAAGAATATTTTTAGTAAAATTATCATCTAATATGGGACGGAGAGAATAACAATATAACTTTATTAATGCACCAAACTCCCCACAAAAAAAAAGTCAGTTGGTTTACAATTTTATCATAAAAAGATCTAATAAAAGGTTGACAAAAAATTCAAATGAAAATGGAAAAAATTGGTTAGCTAGGATGAAATTGGATTGCGTTTGGTTGAAAAGGCCCATGGGCTTGCTGGTCCAAAGGGTACCAAAGCCCATCAAATTTTGGGCTGTCCAATTGAGCAATTTGGGTATTAGCAAAAATGCCTGCATCTTAATCAAATTTAACATAGGTAGATAATTACCAACTTGATATAACAAAAACTTGGGAATTTAAAACACCCCATAGGTGGAAATCTTACTAACTCAGTTGGTTGGTTACCTGAATTTTCATCTTTTCGATAACAATTTGATTCCCACTTTATAATCCCCTCCCCCATACCCCAGTTTTTTTTCCTTTTTTATAAAAAGATCCAAAAATGTGGATAAACAAAAGGATTAACAAAACAAGAAACAGACCTTATCTAGCAAATCAGGTAGACTCCAGGTGGGAATACTGATCAAACAGCAAGGGGAAAGTGTTGGATTCAATCCAAGAACATGGATCCTTGTACCATCAATCAAAAAACAATACAATGTATCTGAAAACATCAAAATTCCAACAGATCAAAAGCTCAACAACAAAAAATCAAAAGAAAATAAAAAAAATAGAGACAAATTCAAAATATCTTTTCATACCATTTGTAAAGATTGAACATTTTTTTCAAGAAAAAACCCAAATTGGGGAAATGGTAGAAATTATAACCAGAGATCTAAAGAGGTGTATATAGCTATATAGTTATTATTATTAATATTTTAGGAATAAGATGAAAACAGAGGATGTGAGTGCTCATCCTCTACCTCTCTTCCCAAATGCACCTCTCTTCTTTTTATTCACTTTTTTTTAATATATATATGATATATAAATAAATATTGAAGGGAATTGAAATTCTTTAATCTATTATCGAGGTGTTTGGCTAAGTTTATAAGCTGGTCAAATTAGATGTATTTTTAAAAAAAGTTTATTCGTGTTCGATATATGTCAAAAGTATTTTATATGTAATGATGAATTTACTCTTTCGTGAATTAAAACGTGATGAATAAAAATAAATCAAAGGAGTAGTACATATATCATGTGTGTTCACGAGAAAATTAACCAAGTTTTGTTTATATTGTGTATTCACTTATTATTGTATATTAAGTTGAAATCATTGTAGAAATTCATAACTTCAAATCTTAAATTTTATCGTAAGTTAAAATTAATCTCAATTTATGATTTTACCGTTGATAAGCATCTTCCATCTAACAAAAACTGTTAAAATTTTGAGAAAAAATAAAGACTTTCGAAAATTTGTCGTCTAAAACATTCCAAAGAAATTTATCTAGTTATAAATCATTTCATTAAATGATAAAATGAGAAGTTTATAATCAAATTGATATTAATTATTCTAGTGATATCCCCTTAAAAATATTTTTCAATAACATACTTAATTTAGTTTCACAAATAAAGTCTGAAAAAAAGTAAGATGTATAACTTTATCCCAATTTTTACGAGATAGACAATTTTCTTTTATAAGACTTAAAAATATAATTTTTTAACACTTAATTTTTATCAACTATTTTAAAGTGAAAAAAATGAAATAAATAAATAAGACAAGTAGATGGAGGTAGCGGTCCGTGAATGAGATTACGTGCGTAAATGTCTGTTTTTATGTACATTTGGGTTCTAAAAACCTAGCTACCCCACCCCATCTCCCCCAACCTAGCATCACACTACCTAAACATAAACCCAAATACCAAAATAGTTATTTCAGCATTATTATTACACCAAAGAGAAAAATAATTTATCTCAATACTATTTTCTCTGTCTCTAATTACCTGTCCATTTTTCATTTTTTAGCTGTCCATATTTTCTTGTCAATTTTGACAAATCAAGAAAGAATTTATTTTTACCTATTATACCTTCAATTAATTACTTTGAAAAAGTAGAACTTCTTGAAAATCTTAAATTTTTAATTCATCCACTTCATAATAAGCAGAGGTAAAATGATAAACTCACTATATTAATTATGATTTTCTTAATAAGTGTGTCAATTGAAAAATGAACAAAGAATTAAGGACAGAGGGAGTAATTATTAAATTCGACATAAAACCTTACCAATCAAACAACAAAATAAATGCACTTTAATTAATTCCAAGACTATTTGCTCTTCACACCAAACAACCCCTGAAGTGTTCCGTTCAGATTGTTCCTGTTCCCAGTTAAAACTTGACCCTGCCCCAAAACGCCTCTGGTTGAGCGGTCAAAGTTCGAACCGAAACCAAGAACGGATCCTAAAATCCGACTGATTTAGGTCCGCCAATTTCAAACGGCGCCGGTCTTCTTCTTCCGGCGAATCGACAGAGACAGCACCTTCCTCCACCATCTTCGACAAAATCGAGTAGTAGGTTTAATATATATATATATAAATGGGCCCAAATGAGGTAGGTAATTAATGGTATTAAATTGTTCAAATAATATAAATTTTAAAGGTACAACCATAAAAGAAGAATGTACAACACTATCTAAGCACATATCATCCAACACTTGTCATGTGCTAAGTAGTAGATATTCCCACTTATTATATATAGTAATATAAAATAAGTCACAT